CCCCCCAGCCCCTGCGCGAAGCGGTGTCTGCGGAGCTCCGGGTTTCTGAGGGAAAACCCACACAAGGAGTAGGCACGGTGGCATATCATATCGAGAACTGCTAGAAAATATTCTGTAAGTATGTAGTTTACATTTTTTTTAAAGGTTGCACATCTATTTACTACCTTTACAAAGTGCCCTTTAGGGTGTGGACATGAGTGGTTGAGAATTGTTTTAACACCCATTCAAGTAATGCTAATTATATACATATATATACGTATTACAGTGTGCACGTTGATTCTGTTATCTTTGTGGTTCCACATATAGGAGCACTCATATTCCTGTTCCGTGGTATCACGATACTGTCATGGCTACAACATTCACCGTCATGTTCTTTTCTGTGTCTCATCCAAGCAAATGGTATCTTTCAGGACAAAAGCTACATTTATTTTTATATTTTACTTTAAAAGTGTTATCCTAAACTTCTTCCAAAAAGTTAACTTCTGACTATTTTAGTGTTTCGAAAGAGTTGAAGTCCACGAATACATCTGAGCACTTTTGTTCAATGCAGCCCTAGTTCCAATTTCTGCCTTGGGGTGTTGATACCCTGCATCCTTTGCTGTCAGTTGATGCAAGAAAAAGCACATTCAGGCCCGGACTAATGGCACTGTTTGTTTATCTGTAGTCATTTGCCAGATCCTGGCCTTTGGACAGCAGGAGATACAAACTGATAAGCTATCCCTGCCCGAGGAACTGCGTTGCCAGTCCCACCACTCTGCCTTTGCCTGGCTATGCTACATGGGTGGCTCCTTCTCCCATCTCTGCTCTGGTTTACACCCAGTGGTCCTCAGTCCCAGACCACTCACATTGTGGACAGGTGGAAGATCATCAGCCCCTCCCTGCAAGATGGATGGGAGGAGAGATGTGAACAGGGAATTGAAAAGTCCTACCTTTGTGGAACTCATTTTCCACCCAAGTTCCTCGGGGGCGGTCATCAGGAACCACTTAACTACCTCTTTGTGGAAGATGAGCTCCTGTGTTGATTTCAGGAACCTCTTTGACTTTTGGTGGATGTGTGGTGTTCAGAGTACCGATTACCCGACCCAGTCTGTGGCAGTCGTGGTATGAACCCCAGCGTGTTGGCAGTAAGTGCCACTACGTGGGAGAGTGCTTTTCCCTGGCACTCGGCCCTATGGTCTGCCTAAAATAGTCCAAGCAGGACTGAAGTAACTGTGCCTCTCAGAAGACAATCCTCCAGAAACAGGTACCATTGTCACTTCAGAGATCTCATCTGTATGTCTTCCAGAAGGCCGGATGTATGTGTACGAGATTGTATATTTTTGCATTTTGATCTGTTCAGATAGATGTCTGGGAGAATCTGCCCAATATAGAAAGCAGCCAGGAAAACAGCTCTTGGAATAACCCAGAGTAACAAATACCAACAATGAAGTTTGGGTAGCAGATGGGGCAGATACATGGTATCCAAAATGCTGCATTAATCCTGAGATGAGCTATTGTTACGGAACAGGGATTTTTTCATAATATAAACTCAGGACTGGATTTAATCACGGGGCCTGAGCCTTTCAGTTGTGAGCAGTAGCTGTGATCCAGTGAAGCACTTCCTATTACTCATCCTCCAGCACAACGCTATCCTTGTGTTGAAGATGTTGCAAAAGTTGAACTCTTTTCCGGCTTAGGGTCACATTTCTCAGTATCTGGGAGGACCAAGTAGGTCTGGGATAGATCCAGGCAAAGCTCACTGTATTAATCCTGAAGACAGTCCGGAAAAAGCAAATACTGAACACAGGCAAAGATTTTCTGGAGCATTACAGCAAAATCCATATTTGTCATTCTGAGAATGAAGTTTGAAAGAATGCTTATATTAGCATTATTTCTTTTATAAATCCTGAATAAGGAAATCATTATTTCAGTGGAAAATGTAGCCAACTCCCCTCTTAAATGCCTGTGATTTGAGCAGGTCTGGTCTGCAGGGGTAACTGTTTCACAGTGAGCACAACATACATTTCTTGTATGTGTGTCCGTAAATATGATAGCTTTATTTGCTTCTGCTGTTGCTAGTGTTAGACAGCACATCAGTTACACTCAGATGTGTAATAAAATATTTTAATTTGCATTATTGATGGTGGTGGTTATTTTCAGTTCTGCAGAATCGGTAAGGAAAAGAAAATTAAAAAAAAAAATCAACCAGTTATGCAACATGAGATTTCCAAGCAGTAACTGTGGAAATACCAGCATACTTCTAAAAAGGAAGAAAGAATACACCAAGAGCTGGGTGACATTTTAAAGTGATGTGCGTAATGATAAGAAACTTATAATTTGGTCTTTAGTAGGATTTATAGCTCTATTACAAGTGAGTACAGTCAGCTGTTTTAAAGATCCATCAAAGGACGATCTAATTAAACTGTGGAGGAAAAGAAAATAAAGACTTGTCTCATGTCTGACTTGATTTATTAATGGAAGAGGTAACAGATATTAATTGTTTCAGGAGTGATTCAGTTACAGGAAAGAAAACTCCTGAGGGTGCAGTATGAAAGGGAGAATTCCAATAAAAAAGAGAAGACAGGAAGAAACTTTCACCATGGTTCGTAAACTGCTTGTGCTGAAGCTTGCTTGGAAAACATTTCAATAACACACATGACTGACCCGTGATTCTTCAAGGGCTTTTCCTCAAATTTCAATGAGGGATGAATTCTCAGTAAGGTCAACTTGTACGGACATGAATAGCCTACAGGCTACTACAAGCAGCTCAGAAGCACAGTGGTGGCACAGTCAATCACATTGACTTCCAACTGCCCTTAGAGGAGAGAAGATAAAGCTATTGTTACCTGCCTGGGTAGCCTAAAGCCACATCAGATTAAATCTTCACTCTTTGAAAGACCATAGGATTCTCATACTGTGCTTGAAAGATGTGAAGTCTGTTCTTGCACTAGGGCATCTTCTCCATTTAAAGGAGGGGAATTACCTGATCTTAAAACTGGCTTATAAACGTGGTTATCTGAACAATGGTATGAAAGGATGTGGTAGATACCACATTATTGCACGGTTTGGACCAAAATATGTTTGTAATCAGTGACACAATTACACTATGCAAAATGCGGGATAAATACAAAAAAAAAACTAGGAGAGAAAACTGAAGGTCAGACTATTAATAAGAAAAATGTAAGATTACGGAACTTTGCTTACAGGTGCATTTTTTTTAATTCATTAGTACCATAGTAGAGGCAAGAATTAAGATTAACTGTGTCATTCAGTATAACCTGAAATGCCATTCACAGTCAGCATCAGTTGGTATCCATTTTTAAAAGCAAAGTAAATAGTTATGTTTATTTAAAAAGTTATTTATTTATAAACATTCTTGTACTTTATTTTTCCCTACTTTCATTTCCCAAGCATATTCCTGACCAAGAATGGCTGTTCAGTACGTTGCATGCAAATATGCCATTAGCCAGAACTTTTACTTACACTGTCTCTGACAGGAGCCATCTCAGCTTCCAAAGATCAGCCCAGAAATTCTGGCATTCTCCTTTGGGTCTGAATGAGTCTGCATTTAAAAAGAACTGTTGTAAAGACTTCTTCAGATTCTGATTCTTCATTTTATGTACCAGCAATTTTGAGATTTTTGGGGGGGGGGGCACAAGTTCACTTAAATTTCCAAAAATGTTTTTCAGTTGTATGTATTATATTAAAATTTAGCATGTCAGTCATGTGGCGACTTAAAATGTGGAACTAAATATCTATCCATTTCCTTATACACTTCTGCTATGATGTGCATTTATATATGCAAAATGTATGCAACTACCTCTCATCCATTTGAAGGAATTCTTAATTTCATGCATAGGAACCCTGTAAAGTGGTAGCTTATTTGCAAAAGACCTGTGGCTAATCCTTATTCCTCCTGAGGTAAGATTTTGATCCTCTCATATATGTGACACCCGATTTTTATTCAGGTTGTTAGGATTCATAAACATCAGTGGAACTAGAAGGTCAAAATCCAGAGAGAAAGTATAAACATGTTGCTTTGCTTTTATATCTGGGGTAAATGCCTAACACAGTTATTAATTTGCATTTATTGTGTATTTAAACAAGGGAATGTTACCACAAGATGAATTCTATTAAATTTTAGAGTGCTAACATACCTGTTTGTTGTTGTTACTAACCTACCTATTTGTTATTACTAAGACTTCAATATGTTTTTCAGTAAAAGTATTTTTAAATCATATTGCGATATCTCCATAGATTCCAGTTAAAAATACTTAACACCAGCTTTTCTAACACACTTGTTGGACATTCTGTCTTCATATTCGTAATACTCTTGCTCCACAGTTCTTGAATGCTCTCCTGGTGGGCATCGGATCCTGCAGAGCCCTTACCGAAGCGTTGATTTTGATTCATCCCACCTCCAGCAATCAGCTATTCAGGATTTAATATGTGACCATTCCCTAACACCAGGATGGTATCGCTTTATGATTTTTGATAAGCCTGCTGAGATGCCAACCAAGTGTGTGGAGGTATTGTTACAACTCACTTGTTTATGAGAAGCACACATTTGTCTTAAGAATTTTTCAGTAGTATAGGTATAAAAAAAGAATAGAGTTATGGAAACTGATGTGGAAGAATGCAGAGCGCTTTTTCTCTCTAAGTACTTGAGTAAATTGAAATGTGTTAACTGAACAGTAAAGTCTTGTGTGTTGAAAATTTTACACTGAATGGGCAATAGCAGAGGACGACAAAGTACATCCCTTTCAGAGCACACAAAACCTTATTCGTAGTCACTGTTAAAGAAGATTTTCTCAGTGGCAGCGTAGCAGGGGTGTCATGTTGTAAAGCTGCGGCTATGTGATGGTCAGTCTGCTAGGAAGGCTGTGTGAAAGCATTGCAGCCACATGAATCCAGTAATTGTGGAGCTTTTAAGGTCATCGTGTTAGAGAGAAGAGATTACTCTTTAAAATTACTTGAACTAACAGGGCTAACTGAAGATTAGTTGCCTTGTCATCTGCGAGTACTTGGAATATTTAATACTTTAGACTTGTAATGCTAGACTTTGGAGCTGTTCCAGCATCTCTGCAATAGTTGTACTCTAAGGAGATGCATCTTTGTAGTTTCCTATTTTAAAACATTTCCTTGTTTTAAAAAAATGTCAATAGAATATTTCGCCTGTGATTTTTGTAATGAATTGAAATTGCCTGGTCAGTCCTTAAAAAAAGAAAAGAAAAGCCCAACAATGAAACACCTTTAAAGGAGTACAAAACATTTAAAGCATACTAATAAAATTAAACTGAGTTTATAGCATCGCCTCTTATTTAATTTTTCTTTATTTTTATTAAATGTTTGCAGCATTATAAAGTACCTTTAATGCACAGCTGACTCCAGGACTCAGAGGACTGTGTTGCAGAGGCTACTGTTATCCAGGCTTTTATACTGCAAAAAAACTAGCAAAAAGTGTGATTCCTGAAGGACTTTCTTTCAGTTAGATACAAACAAATTAACTCATTAGTTGTATTTTCTCAAAATGGATACTTTTATACAAAGAACCAGCATGAGAAACCATGGGAAAAAAGAATGTGGTTTTTCAGAACAGAGGTTAGACGAGCAAGGTAGCTGCTCATATCATCTAGGAAAGTTTTAGAAATCTGATCAAAGTTCTCGGTGCTTATTAAATATTTGGTAAGGATAGGCTACCATCCTAATACAGAGGAGACCAGATAACACAGTTGGAAAGAGATTGATTCAAAACTTACTCAGCAAATGAAATTTGTGCACTGACATCGGCTTCTATGCATCTGTTGACAAAAACAAGACATGTATTTTGAAATATCAAAGTCAAAACACTAAAACGAAACTAAAATGGATGTCTTGTTTGGGAAGTTTCCTCCTTTCTTTCCCTGTAGGAGAACTTTTATTATAGCTATATTTAATATAGCTGTAATATTAGAGCCTTGAATCTATCACAAAGGGCAGATAAAACATGTCAGCTTGAACACCTTTAGTTGCTGCTCAGTATATGTGTGTTCTACCCTATGCTGTGCTCTGTTAGCATTCACACAGTCAGTTACTCCGGGTTAATAGGTGCAGAGTAACTCACTAAACCCTAATACAACTGTTGGCTTTTTTGGACAGAACACTCAGGTGTGGCTCCCGGTTAAGTTCTTCAGTCACTAAATTATAGCCTGTCTCTAGAAACACAAAATCATTAGACTCACAGAAGGACTGAAGTCTCTTTGTTGTCTATTGGTATTCAACCTTGAGGGGGGAAATAAGCAAGCCTTCAGTTGTACTGTCTAAACTTTGCTAAAAGCTCATGCAGGAAATTAATTGAATACATGTGTACCTCTCATTAAAGCACAGCAACAGTTTGATATAGCATTAACCATTTTCTGATGTTTTTCTCTGGTGCTGAAGATGAATCGCTGCGGTACTCAAGCCCCTGTCTGGTTGTCTCTGAGGGAGTCAGAATCCATGCCTCGACCCAGTGAGATCAAACAGTTAACAGCTTGTGCTACATGGCAGTTTTTCTTCAGCACTTCAAAAGACTGCTGTCTCTTCCGAATCCCTGTCAGCGTGAGGAACTGCGGAGATTTCTTTGTTTACTTACTGCAGCCCACCCAAGGGTGCATGGGGTATTGTGCAGAAGGTGAGAAAACGCATGCTTAACTCAACCAAGTGTGTGTGTATATATGAGCAAGTGTGTTTCTCTGATAATATGGTTGAGCAGAAATGTCTGGAAATAGTTATACGTGATAAAATTTCTTGCAATGCTTACTTTTAATATTGGTATGGTAGAAAAATTATTTGGTATGGTAAGGTGGGTTCACACCACCCCTTCTTAACTTACATTTAACACTCAAGTATTGTTCAAAGCCCCAAAACTTAAGAATTTACATTTTCCATATGATGAAGTGGGGATATAAGACACATCTAGAAGTCAAAATTCAGAGTACCAACAATGTCACTCATACTCTGCAAATACCCGTTACTCAATATGCATAGAATTACGTGTCAGAGTAAATTTTGTTTAAGGACTTGACCAAGCTATATTTATATCAGTTATGGTTTAGCATCATTAGGAATGTTTTTCGTACTGTAACTCTTTTATCATTTTTCTGGAGAGTGTAAATGTTGTTGCTAGAAGAAAATCCAACACAGACATGCTCTACTGAAACACACTTTATTAGAATTATGAGAAAGAACTAAAGTGGAGTCGTTTTGCAATGTCTCATGTTGTCTTGGACCCTTGTGCTGCAAAAGTGTGCTGGTGTTAACAGCTCAAAACTTCAGTATTCCATTATTCATGTCAGGTGTTTTAGATAAGGAAGGCATGGTTAAATCCTTAACAGTTATAAATACTGTGAAATAGTGAGAAACTAATGTAGTAGGAAATTCTTCTAGCTCATATAACACACCATTGTGAAAATACTAGCAATATTTTTATGCATCACACACTGTGTTGCTCGAAATTGTATTCTCTATCACTGACTGCTTTCAAAAGTAATAGTAAAGCTATCAGTGGATTTTCTGGTGGTTTACTGGCCCATCATGATAGCTTTAGGTCCTCACTATACCTTTAGGTCCAATTGTAAGGCATTCTTCAAGGGTTTATTGACAGAAGAACAATGCCAGAATTGGGACATTTCAGCATGCAAGTGACTGAAGCAATGGAGAACTCCTGCACTGTAGGACTTTGCATTTACTTTGCATGATAGCTCACCAAGAGGAAAGAGGATAAAAAAACCATAGGCAGCGAGCCAGCAAATTTTTACTGCCTCAAAATGAAGTAGGCAAGAATCATAGCTCTGATTTGGCTCTGCTGAATACTGTAAATCTGAAACACGTTTTGATTTTAAAAGCCCTCATTTAAGATGATGTTTTCATGCGAAGTGCATCGTACTCTTGTGCTGCTTTTTGTGTCTAGGTTACTGTGTGTATTGTGTCTTCTCTTTAACGCTTGGTAGCTGTAAACGCTTCATGCAAATTTTCAAACAGTCTCTACATGCTGAGGAATTCATTGTGTCATTGAAGTGTGGAACATGAAAATCTGCTCTTCATTCTGTTTTCTGAATGGGGTTTTCAGTGTTGCTGCTGCCCTTTTGACTTCGTTTGAGTGGAGTGACTAACCTCTTTCTACTCCTGTTACAAATGTACTGACTGGTATTTTCATATTTAATCAAACTTCCGCTTTTTTTTCTTTCATAACATTCAAAGTACCAAACAATAGCAGCACACAAGCACTTTTTCTTGGGCTCGTATAGGAAAGATAACTTTTTCTCAACGCAGGACTGCACTGAATTTGGCTGTCCAGGGTTACAGTTAATGAATAAGCATTCAGATCTGGATTTGGGGAGACAGAACATACATTCAAGAGAGTTTAATTCCTTTTGATTCACTAACAACATCTATAAGTATTGGCTGGGTACATCTGCAGTAAAAAATGTAGAGGTGGCAGAACGTTCTGTAGCCTTCCTCCTAGATGTAGCCGATCTACTTGTGATTTCCAACACAAGGCTTTGTACTGACTGCTACTATAATTGTATATGAATCAGATTACAAGATTGCTTCTGTTCTGCTAATTTGTACTTCAGTTAGTGTCTTGTGATATTTGGTATATTTTTAACATAGGGCAATAATTTAAGAGTGTTGGTGTACGTACTTTGTATGTGTGTGAATATACAATTTAAGAACAATTTGTAGTTGTTTCCGATGCAAAGCCACAGACTTGTGATCCTGAGGGAATGGAATTTCAGGGTGTCTGTAGCAGTGAGCATTTAGTTTTGCTTTTCAAGATTTTCTGTGCATCTGTGACCCAATAATGTCAATATTTAGTCATATTCTGTCTTTAATAAAATATATTCGTGTTATCAACAATATTGTTGGATCTGTTGCAAAATGAGCAGTTTGGAAGTAATTTCAGACCTTGAATTACAAAAGTACTTTCTCAGCAAAAAATACCAAAATTTTAAAAAGTAATTTTAATAAGGCTGATTACTTTGATTCTTTGGGATTCAAATATAAGATGAATGTACAAACCGTACTGTTGTTTGTTCTATTCCTTTTTACATAGACTTTTTTTTTCATTTTGTTTTTCCCCTTTCTTCATAAGTAGAGAAAATAGGTATTTGCCTGACAGAAGACTTTCCATGTTGCTCTCTCTTGTCTGGTAATATACTTAATTTTATTTTATTCCCTTGGTTTTGTTTTTTTTTTCCCCCTCTTCAGCACCTTCCTGTGGGCTGGAATATAATCAAAGGCTGATAAAGAGTTTTTTCTCCTTTTAATAACTAGTAAAAGGAACATGCAGATTTTCTCCAATTATCTAAGCAATTATGAAATTATATGAAAATAGGTAAATATTATATAAATTATAATAATTATAAGCATACAAAAAAAGGTAAATATTATCAGTGTATTAATTGGCAAAATATATGCCAATGTCATTTCATTAGAATTTTTTTTTTGCACAGAATAAAAAGCACAAACCACACTTCTGTTTGACTAGGTAAACTGGCTCCTTCATCTCCACCCGTGTCACCACCGCTACCAGCAATTCCTGAAGTTGTAGCAGAGTTGATCAAAGGCAGCATTTACCTGAAGTGTACCTTTCGCGTTCCTTTTGCAAACAGCTCAGTCGGATTCATTGTAACTTGGTCAAGACTTTCTCCTGAAGGTATCAAAGAAGAACTGAAACATGAGACAGTGGTTCATACATTCTCACTTCTAGAACTAGATGGGATAAATGTCAGACTTGGAGACAGGGTATGTTAAGAATAATTATAATCTCTCCCTATCTTGGTAAATCTGTTATTTATCCTCCGTAGCTATTTTATGTAAAGGCATATGGTTTCATAAATGCTCAGTAGACACTAACAGTTAGACAGTCTTAGCACCTTGCTGTATAATTTTTCTTGTGAGAAGCATATTGACTGTAGTTGTTGTTTACACCAACAGTGCCCATACGTGGAAATACCACAGAATATATCAGTAATTATCTCTGCCATTAAGGTTTGGAGACTGTCTGTCTCAGTACAGTATAGTGTGTCTCCAGGAAAGAAATGTTTATTCAAGTTATATCTTCTTCACCCTCTACCATGATTTTGTTTGATACTGTAAATTAAGATGATTTTTGTATTGAACTGCATCGAAGTGAGAGGCTATAAGAGCTAGAGATTGTGAGAAGCTATGTTGTTGATTCATTAGATACAATTCTTTTCTCTGAATCAATAATTCTGCTTGATAGCTTTGTCTCTAGGATCAGATTTAAATAGTTTTATATCTGCCATCAAAAGCAGTGGGAGTACTTGCATTAACTTGCATGGTAGCAGAATCAAGATCTAGGCTCTCACGGTGACGTTGGGAAGCTTCAGCATTGGAAAGTCAGTAGGCTTTCTACCTGTGTATACCAAAATACAGGTTATTTTTTCCTGGCCAAAATAAAAACCAAAAAAGCACATGGTTGGTTTGCATGTGCATGTGTGTTCAAGCCAAAGCCAGGCTGCTTGGATGGTGTATGGGCAATAATAGCAATTGCCAATTCTCAAAATTCCTTTCGGGACTCTGTGAATAGTTGCCTGACAATGTTAAATCAGTGGCAGTCAAACGGAAAGGCACCTGCTGCTGCCATGAATCCTTGGTTTTCTCAGGATCTCAAATATTGCACGTATGGACAACACATCTCAAAACGGATACAGCAAAATAAACAAACAAAAAATGCAAAACCAAAGCAAAACCACAGTGTCTGGTAGCAGGGTAACATGTTCCATGGTAGCATGGAACAGGAAATTCTTCAGCTTGAAAAAAATTATCCATGCCCATAACACCAGGAAAAAAGTATAGTAAGAAGAGGAGGAGGAGAGGATGATTGTTTTGCATAATCTAAGATCTAATGGGCACTCAACAAAATTAAAACGCAACAAACATGAAACAGACAAAAGGAAGTTAATAATGTAATAAATTATAGAATGCATTTCCACAAGATGTGATGGGGCGCAGAAATGCTCCAGGAGGGATTTGTTAAATCTGTGGAGAGTTAGGTGCTTGTTAAACATGACGGTTTGTGTGTTGCCCTTAGTTCAGGAAGTCTCTGCACCACTGGTGGAGTGTGCCAGGAAAAGATCTTGGGACTCTCAGTCTGTTTCTGTGTTTTTCTTAAGCAGCACCACTGGCAATTGGTAACTTCTGGTGGGAACAGAAGACTGTGTGTGATGAGCCCATCAGACTGACCCATGATGGCTGGGTTTTATCTTCACATGACCAATTCATAACAAAAATGTATTCTATTATTTTGGGATTTGCCTTACAGGTCTACTGTAGCAGTTCTGCTTTTTTCATGGAAGCACCAGATATACAAAGCTCTTCTGTTGAAAGCAAGGAATTTTTTGCTGGCATTAAGGTAATTTTGAAAGAAAATAATGTTTTACTTTATTGTAGTAGGAGTCTTTCTGAGTATTGCTGCAGCAGTCTGTTCATGGAGCTGTTGGAGCAGGTCCAGAGGAGGGCGACAAAAATGATCCAAGGGCTGGAGCACCTCTCCTGTGAGGAAAGGCTGAGACAGTTGGGGCTGTTCAGCCTGGAGAAGAGAAGGCTGTGGGGAGACCTTATTGCGGCCTTTCAGTATTAAAGGGGGCGTATAGGAAAGGTGGGGAAAATCTTTTTAGCAGGGCCTGTTGTGACAGGACAAGGAGTAATGGCTTTAAACTAAGCGAGGGTAGATTCACAGTGGATATAAGGAAGAAATTTTTTACAATGAGCTGGTGAAACACTGGAACAGATTGCCCAGAGAGGTAGTGGAGTCCCCATCCCTGGAAGTATTCAAGGCCAGGTTGGATGGGGCTCTGAGCTCTGAACAGCCTGGTCTAGTTGAAGATGTCCCTGGTCACTGCAGGGAAGTTGGGCTAAATGACCTCTAAATGTCCCTTCCAGCCCAAAGCATTCTATGATTCTATTCTATTCTCTGATTAGAAGGCACTCAAAATGTGTCAACTGGTGAATAAATAGAGCAAGATGTTAGCTATAGTGAACTTAAATTTCCCAAGAAGAAGAGTCAAAGCTGTTTCTGTGATCCCCGTGTACTCAAGGTGCCGGAAGGCTGAATCAGCAACTTGCACGAGTTACACCAATTTAGTGAAAGCCCCAGCCTCCAGCAGGTAGAGCTGACTCGGGCGCTGTATTTGTAACCTGAGGAGGCCCACAGCTCAGCCTTGAGCCCTGGCACGCTGTTCTCCACTACATTTGACTGCCGCTGGCGTTTCTAGAGTGATTATGGCCCACGCCAACAGACTTGGCCAGCGCGGGGCTCGCGGGGTGGCCTCGGCCAGGGCCTCCTCCTAACTGGCCATGGGCATGAGGGACCATGGAGACCAGCCCGGTCTGGGCTTACAGGAGGAAACTGGGACCTGAGCTGTGCCATGCCACTTAGTCATTTTAGTTTCCAGAAGTTACCGAGAGAATACATTTTTGTGGTGTTAATGTGGTTTGCTAATTGCTTACCTTTCCAGATAGTCTTTACTCTTGCCTTTTACTTATCCTTGCCCCTTATTCTCAAGACTCTTGCTGCCGTGTCCACATCATCTCCCCAGTATGCCGCTGCTCTTCAGACCATCTAAATAAGCCTGATGAAGTGGAGCAGGCTGCGCATCATGGCATTCAGTCTTTTTAGTTGTTTTTACTTTACTCCTAGCTGGTTAATAAGCAATGTTGTAGCTCACCAACAAAGATTGCATTTTAAGTACAATTTCTTCTGTGCTAGCTACATCCAGAAACATACAATATATCAGAAGATGGGAAGGAATACAGACTGGCAATAGAAAGTAGCATTCCTATTACTTGTCCTGAATTTAGCCAGCTTGAAAGTGACTGCAAAATCTCACTAACATTAAAAACTATTGATAGGGGTAAGTATTATCCTGATATTTGTTGCATTTTCTATGTTTAATATGTTTTTCTAAATATTCCCGCTGGTCCGCTTCTTTGGAGAAGCTGTTACATTGTAAAATACTTTCTAAAATGTTAAAACAAAATATTCACAGGCTGTATATGCTGTTGCTGAAAGCATGGAGGAATGTGTCCATAATCCATTACTTGTTGAAACTGGCAGGTGTTTTTGGCAGCTGTGGATATTGGAGCCATATTCTTTAACTTGAATAGACAGAATACCATAATACTTGCAAAGTTCGTAATTCAGTTCATTTTGTTGACCTTTTGTGTTGCAAATATTGTATATTCAGTTGTGAAGTCTTCATTCTTTACTATTATTATCGTTTTCTGTAGTACTTTCTCAAGCCACAAGTCCTGTGAGTGCCGGGAGGAGGCTTACCTATGCAGACAGCCATTTTTGTTACATCAGCAAGATTATAATGATTTTCATTTGGCTATCAAACTGGAAAATACAAAACCATTTTACTGGGTGTGTGTATGAAGATATAGAGAGGGGGGTTTGCGTGACCAAACCCAAGGAAAATGCGTAGTTATTTTAATTTATGAAAATATATGTAAGTTATCTATATTAGCAGCAGTATACAAAATGTGACTCGTTTAGAGGAAAACTTGCTAATGATGTGTTTTCATTAAAACAGGTAAAGAGCAGTTAGGTTTAAACTTGGCTCTTTCTTCTTGTCATGTGGATCTTCTCCAGAAACCCTGCAATAATGGAATCTGTAGTCAAGCTATAGTTTATTTCACTGCTGTGACAGACTTTATGCAGGATGGAGACAGAACTACCAGAATTGCGGTCGAACCTGTATCCAGTGAGAATTTCCTGTGGAATGGCTATATTCCAGAAAGCACACAGGTTGAAATCTTTGTGTTAAGCTCTGTAAAAGCAACTGGCCAGAAATGTGGTTGATGTAAATGAAGCTTCTATTTCAGTTGTGACATGCTGGCTCACACCAAGATTTCTAAGTGGTCAATTTTCCATTGTTTTATTTTCATTTAAATGCTGCGTTTTCATGTGAATTAAGTTTATGTGGATTTTGGCTTTTGTGTTTGTTTTTTTTTAATATTTGTATATGAATATGACTACTTAGATTGATTAAAAGCATAATACAATGTATTTATTAGAAAGTAAAGTAGTATAATAAGGTAAATAATGTGCCTGTTTGTTTCTTAATCTGACATGGCTTACTGTGTGCTTCTTTATTTTGAAGATTACAGTAAAGGATCTACCCACTGCCTATTGCTACTCATTTACTGACCCTCATATAATTACGTTTGATGGCAGGTAATCACTGGATTGCTGCTCTTAATTTTAAGTGGGTTTTGGTTTTGTTTTGTTGGGGTATTTTTAAATCTATGCTGGTGATACAAGTTAGCTGTAGTTTTCTACAACTGTGCTCTGCTTTTGATACTCTGTCTTGGACAATAAGGATAAGCATGCTGTAGCTAGTAAAAGCTTGCCAGTCATGATGATGATTGTAAAGTTTGTATTTCTAAATGCAAGTTTTGGATTCTTGCAAAAGAGTGAAGAAAATAGACTATTTCCATTTTTGAAGAAGTGTGCCAAGTACATCTACAGCATAGTTTTCCTGTTTCTGTGTGTCAGTATCTAAATCACTGTGTAACATTGTGGTAAGTTCATTAATGGCATCGGAAGCGACTTACTCGCTATTGTCACTTGCACTTCACTGACCACCTTTCTGAAGTGAAGACAGCTTCCTTGGCCATAGCTGGCATGCCTTTTGGTATACTTCTCTCTTTCAAAGTGTTTCTAGTTCATGGAAGGTGTCAAAACAAGCACAGGTTCCACACATGGGCTTGTGTATTCTCTGCTCAGCAGAAACACATTTCTTCAAGCAGCAGGGTGAGAGGAAGATAGTATGTTGCCTCCAGAAAAGGATGTTCAGCCCAGGACCCTGTTCTTCTTGTGAACTTGATAAAGGAAGGGAAAAGACAAGTTGTAAGTGCTTCTCTGATAGCACTGTGACTAGTAGTAATAGTAATAATAATAATAAAGTCACTGAGGTTATCCTGATCTTGTAGTTCATCCTTCAGTGGAAATTATAGGGGTGGCTTCACTGGGCATTTTGACAATCGATGCATTGTGATCAACCTTTCTTATGAAGCAGTGGTGCTGTGGGGAAAGAACTTTCTTTTTAAGGGTAAAGTCTGTCACTACTTTGTTTTACAATCTGGGGAAACAAATAGAAAAGGAACTGTCCTTACTGAATCACAGGTAATCCTATGCAGTCCCAGTAGGGTAGCCATCTGCAGTTTGTCTGCTGGCCCATTATACACAAAGACAATCGCCATTCTGCAATTAACTGTCAAATGCCATCTATAGCCAAGAGGCTGTTAAACTTGCAGCAAAAGTTTGTGGTTTTTCCTTCCCTCAACCCCATTGAATCATTAAATTGGCTATTTTAGCCTCGCTTCAGGGAACAGATGGCTACCCTAAGGAAAAAAAAGGAAGTTGCTATTTATGGTTTTCATCTCAAATAATTTTCAGATCTTTGGGAATAAGCACTCCCCATCTCCATCTTAATACAGCAGACCTTTTGAAAAGTATGTGACTCTCTAAACCATTTTGTCAAGGGTGCTTGTGCAGTCTTCAGCAGCTGCCTCCCACATATGCGCTGTTATGCATCTTATTGCCCTCACCGCATAGGTGTACTGCTGTAGAAGCACAAAGGTTGAGAAGTATCCTCCGCTCCCCTGCCATAAGCATCATAAAAAAAAACCAAACAAAAAACAACAACAAAGAATGGCCATGGCTTTATGGTTATATTTCCATTCATAACCATTGTCTACATGTCACTCATGATCCTTCTTTTTTTCCTTATTTTTCTGCTGTAAAACAAGTTTAATTTTTTTGATTTAGATCTGCACAGAGGAAGATATGTTTGAGAACAGATGATGTTTGTTCAGAACAAAGTTGTATGTTGGTTTGTGGGCTGTGCTGTTTGGTTTTTCTGATGCAGGAAAATGAGTTGCAGTGTGAAAGTTGACCAAATATTAGAAATCTGATTTAAGATAAAGTTGCCGACATGTGGTGATACAGTGATTTTTATAACCGAGGTGGTATCACATGCTATTCTTTTGATTCCAGACTCTATGACAATTTTAAAACTGGAACATTTGTTCTCTATAAGAGTACATCTCGAGATTTTGAAGTTCATGTTCGCCAGTGGGACTGTGGAAGCCATCACTACCTGGCAGCCTGTAATTGTGGCTTTGTTGCCAAAGAAGGAAGTGATATAATTGCATTTGACATGTGCAGTGGTCAGCTGCGTGAGTCACAGCCACATTTATCAGTAATAAGTAGAGACACAACAGCAAGCAATGTCAGAATCACTGAATCCTACCTAGGAAGAAAAGTAACAGTAAGTAGTAAATAAGTGCTTGCCAATGTAATGGTTATCTCAACAATTATTTTTACCAATTCACACCAATTTTGGAACTAAAACATGCTTTATTTTCTGTGGTTAAGCAGTAAAATAGTGTTTATTTTGCAATCATAGTCTTTTGGCCAGTGTTTCGCTTGTAAGTGAAGGATGTTGTCCTCGAAATCAAGGATGTTTCAACAGGCATGCATTTCGGGAACCATGTTGTCAATCACAGTATACAACCTTTGTGTGGAAGGTGCAGTTTTCAGATTCAATATGCACTTACTTATCAGCCCTAATGCTCCAAAATGTATGCTCTGTTTTGCTCATGCCAGTGTTACACAGGAAGGCTGTGCATACAGATAATTAAGTATGCCAAATGATATCCACAGAATTAGAAGTGTGGATGGTTTCTCTAGAGGATGTGGCCCTCAAATAAACATTCACATTTGCTTTTGTGATTTCCTGTACCTTTTCTTTTTTATGTAGAATTGCTGTAGGACTCCACTGAACTTCAGATGAAGCAGAATGTAAAAATGAAGCCCTTAACTGCTCTTTAATCACTCTGTTGGTCTGGAAGGCCAGCCATAAAAACAGATACGCCTTTTCAACCTGGGTTTGCCTATTGGTATAAGACTATTTTAAATATTTAACTTTTTTCTGAAGCACCTCATGTGAATACTTCAGATATTAAATATTAAGATGACATTAGGCAACAGAGAAATTGAAAGGATACTGACGAACCAGAAAAATTAACTGACTTGCTCAAATTCATACAGCACGTTAATAATAGAAACAGCATTTAAACTTGTAGTGAATTTTGTTCTAGAGACTTCTAGTATTTCTTTGAAGAGATTCTAAAGTTGCCTAAAATTAAATAGTAAATATTTGAGACTGTTCTGAGCTATCTAGAACATTGCAGATAGCTTTGCAAGTAGAAAGTGCGTCTATATTAAGCTTTTGACACAGGGAATCATGTAGCTGACAAAAAGAAAGTTGAGAAGTTCCTGCCAAAGAGTCTATTCGTATTACTAGAATCATCCCTTTCCATTCCTAGCATGTGAATAGTGAGCAGCCCAGCTGATCCTTGATTCTCTGTGGTTTTGAGGTCACTGACCTTACACAACACACCTGCTAATGATGGATGAATCTTATGAACCTATAGTGCACTGTCTAGCTGCCTGCTAATGTTGGGATGTGTAGAGTTTTTATTTACAGGGCTTCATGAGAAGAAGAAATAATAAAATTTATCTGATCCAGAGTAGTTAGACCCAGAATTTAATGGGATGTCTTTATATGCCTGGCGTTTTCCAATTGTTCCTTGCCAATAAGCATACCTGATTTTAATAGGTAAAATAAAAATTGTGTTTCTCATGATGGTATCATCAATCTATTTTTAGGTTTTGTTTTCTTCTGGAGCTTTCGTCCGTGCTGATGTGAGTGAATGGGGAATGAGCATAACGCTTAGGGCACCCAGTTCAGATTACAGACATACAGTGGGACTCTGTGGCACCTTTGATGGACGCGCAGAGAATGACTATCACACTGCGAGTGGGGTGGAAATCCCAAACCGTGCCAATGTTCCTTTTTCTTTTATTAAGGAATGGAGGTAAGAAAATAATTCTGTTTCAATCAATGTCATAATTTTTGGTTCAACCTGTCTTTCACACTCTTAAAAACTAGTCAAAGTAAGAATAATAAAAAAAATTCTCCCTAACTTTTGAAGTTAATGTTAGAATACCATCGTTACATTCCGTAACTAATTTCAGAGAAAACTGAAGTGCCAAATTAGTGTTTAAGCAGTATGAGGTAAGATTAGTTTGAGTAGCTTTTAAACAAAGTATCAAGGTATACAGAAAATATCTGTTCTTCTATTATAAGTTACGCTCACGTAACTTATAATAATTTAACTGGTCTTTAAATATAGCAGTATGCTGCAGATTCTGTGATCTATGCTGGAGAAGCATGAAACAACAAAAACCAAAACAAACATTAATACTTTACTAAAGCAATGAAAATAGTTCAGATACAGTTTCATCTTTTTCTTTCTTCTCCAGAATTTCACCAGGAGATAGCTTGTTTGACAAGACACCTGCTTCTTTAACATCTCCTGGAAAAACAGCCTTCTGTGACTGTGTGCTTGAAGATGCTGGATTATATCGATCAGTGAATAAATTAGACACAGTTTCTCAGTCAGAATTTCCTCTGTCTTGTAAAGAAAGTGAAAATGGTAGATTTCTTTCTTTGATACCAGGACTGGACATCACTGCTGAGTATCTTGGTCCTGTTGATCTTGTCAGAGGCTTAAACAAACGTTCGTCTGCACATGAAATGGATTCATCTGTACTTCTGCAGAGGAAGGATAATCAAACCGAACTTCACAAAACATCACTAGTAAACACAGATGTGTCTTCAACCTCGGTGGGAAATACTGGTGTAGAAAAAGAAGGAACTTCAAGCTCAGGCATTAGAAGAGGTTCTCACAGTTACAGTAGTCAGCGTCACAAAAGTCAATCTGTTACAAGTAGGGGGAAGCGCCAAAATTATTATGAATACCATCCGGTATTTCTGTTCCAAAGTCTTAGCCAAACAGACTTAGAGGGGTACAGCTATTTTTTCCCAGAGGACCATGCCACTGACACAGACCAGAAGTTTCTTCCTTCTTGGCCCACACCTTCTGGCCTCACCGAGTCGAGCGCTTTGTTACTGTGCCAGGAGGCAATAGCTAATTCCAGTATAGGAAGGTCTTGTGGTGGGCTTCTTGGCCGGCGAATAGAAGATGCGGTCAGTATGTGTGTTAAAGATTTGCTGCTGAAAGATGACCTCAGCTGGGCAGAAGCTTTCTTAGCTCTTCTAGAGAACGAATGTGAGAAGAGAGTTTTAGAAGAAATAAATCACAACGGACAGGAACTTCAGGGGTCCTTTGAGAGCCTACTTAATGCGTTGAAGTGTCCCAGTCTCTGCAGTGGTAATGGGGAATGTACAGAATGGGGCTGTGCATGTTTTGAAGGCTACAGCTCGTATGACTGCAGCATCCTGTCTGGTAAGTGAGGGAGGGGGTAAATTACTTAAATAATGTTCTAGGTGTGTGCGCAACATACATTTATTTTGCTGCTTTGCTGTTCTGCTTTTGCATGCAGAAAAAGCAGGGCCCTACAGTGGCCCTTTTCATTATCTGACAATTTAGTTCTGGTTTAATACAGCCATAACTGTTTTCTATTCAACCTTGTTTCTCAAGAACAAACACAGGCTTAGTTTGTGGTATGTCAGATTTAAAAAATTTACCACTTGGTGAGTTTTATACTCTCTGTGATCCTGTTTATTAACTGTAAGTGGGATGTTCTTCTCTTTGCTGATGTTACATCTCTGTAAGCTGTTAAATGTGGTAGAAGCAGAACTGAAAGTACCAGAAAACTCAAAGCCCTTTCAAAACAAAACTTGTTAATATTTTGGTTTGCTACAGTGTTTTTATTTTAGTGACTGTCGTGGTTTAGCCTTTCTGGATGCCAGGTGTCCACCAACGCTGCTCTGTCACACACACACCCCTGCCCCCCAACTGGACATGGGAGAGAACATACAACAAAAGCTCAAGAGAAGGGCAGGGAGAGGTCGCTCACCAAGTACTGGCATGGGCAAAACAGACTTGATTTGGGGAAATTGGTTTAATTTATCAGCAATCAAATTGGAGTAGGATAATGAGAAACAAAACCAAATCTTAAAATCACCTTCCCTCCACCCCTCCCTTCTTCCCAGGCTCAACTTCACTCCCAAATTCTCTCTCTCCTCCCCCCAAGCAGTGCAGGGGGACGGGGAATGGGGGTTGCGATCAGTTCATCACACGTTGTCTCTGCCGCTCCTTCCTCCAGCGTGGAGTCCCTCCCATGGGAGACAGTCCTCCACAAATTTCTTCAACGTGAGTCCTTCCAGTGGGCTGTAGCTCTTCACGAACTGCTCCAGCATGGGTCCCCCATGGGGTCACAAGCCCCACCAACAAATCTGCTTCAGCATGGGCTCCTGTCTCCATGGGTCCACAGGTCTTGTGAGGACCCCGCTCCAGTGCGGGCTCTCCATGGGGCTGCAGCCGCCTTTGGGCATCCACATGCTCCAGCGTGGGGTGCTCCATGGGCTGCAGGGGGACAGCCTGCCTCACCATGGTCTGTTCGACCAGCTGCAGGGGAGTCTGCTCCGGCGCCTGGAGCACCTCCTCCCCCTGCTTCTTCACTGACCTTGGTGTCTGTGGAGTTGTTTCTCTCACATATTCTCACTCCTCTGTTGTGCTGCAAAATGCTGTTATGCAGGGTTTTTTCCTTCTTAAATACATTATTGCAGAGGCGCTACCACCATCGCTGATGGGCTCGGCCATGGCCAGTGGTGGAGCCAGCTGGCATTGCCTGTATCGGACATAGGGGAAGCTTCTGGCAGTGTCTCACAGAGGCTGCGTTTGCAGTCCCCTCGCTACACAAACCTTGCCATGCAAACCCAGTGCAGTGACCGATTTAAAAACAAATGCAGAAAGAGTTAAGAGAAAAAGAAATACTTCATTCCTCTTGAAATCAGATAAGCTGGTTTTGCTTCATAAAAACTATTTTTGAGTGTTCTAATATTTGTCAGTTTATTTCCTGAAATCACTTCCATCTGAGATGCGTTTGTTTAGTTTTTAAACAAAATATTCCCTTTATAAATTATTGCATAACTGTCACCTTTCCAGTTCCTATTACTAGGGTCTGAGTTTAACTTAGATGCTATTCTGCAAGCGTGATGTAAAGAACTATAGGTGAGAAAGCAGAACATGTATTCACAAGTGTTTCTTATCAGATGAATATTTTCTCTACTTCATAATATTCAAGTTCCAAGAGAAGACAAAAAGTCTAGCTTTAAAGTTAAAATACATTTTAAGAATAAAAAAATGTTTCTGTTTATTCCTTTTGTCAGCTGGCTCCAGACTTCATTGTTTACATAGTTTTCTTAGCTGGATAGAGAAATAAACGTATTGCTTAATGTAAGTGCATATGAATGCATTAATATACTGACAGTCATTGTCTAATCTCTACTTCAAAGACCAGGCTCCAGAAATTACAGAGCTGGAGAATGCTGGGCTGTGTGATATTCGACAGTATGACTGCACATCAGTGAGAGCTTTTGGACATGGCTTCAGGGAGTCATTGAATCTGAAATGTGAAATTATCAAATTACAGGTAGGTCTCCCTGAATAGTAACCATTACATTTTGAACTTCTCAGAGAATGAGGGAAAAAATGTCTAACACATTATTCATTGATGTGGGCACAACCCAATACTTTAGTAGAAGCTAAAAGTGAAGGCACTCAGCCCTTTGCAGCAGACACTCAAGTCTTTGCAAGATTGCCGTTTCCTCTGTGATAAGAGAAATACAAAGCATAATGGGAATGTTCAGCAGCCAAGAGAGAGATAACAGCATATGGCACCTCTCCATCAGAAAGGGGCAAGGGCAGTTCTGTTAGTAACAACCAGTACATCGTTGTTCATTTTTAAGTGCTTATGGAGAGGAATTGAATTACCGCTTTTTTGAAAAAGGACAGCAAGGTTAAAGACATTACTAGATTTCAGTCTCAAATCTAATGCTTGAAATAGTCCTTTTATAAACATAATAAATCTGTTACAGAAAGAGAAAGGCATTTTTGGTGTTTTGTCCATTTCCCCGGGGCAGAATACCATGGCTATTTAATGATATATGTCAGCTCTGTACCCCCGGTTTGAACAGGAAATTAAAAATGTTGCACTGTAAACTAACAGGAGTCTGTATAGAGAAACTGTTGTTACTCAGGCCTAGAGTTCGCTCAAGGCAAATTTACAACGAGTTTACATGTGTTAGCCTGGAATAAACAATTGGCAATTACAAGGGTTTATGTCATGTTAGACATGAGAATAAAAAAAGCTTCAAAGTAAAATTGGGTTTTGTTGATATGACTGGGGGGTGGAGGGTGAGATGATGAAAGGGGAACAATTCAATGGGAAAATTTTGTTCTTGAGAGAAAAAAAGTTTTCCTTAGCTAGTTCCAGCAGCTGCTAAAATTATTTAGACAGATTAAGCACTGCTGGGTATAGATTTTTCTTAAACACAACATGTATCCACTCATCTGAAAGTTGGCTTGAAATGGTCAAGTCAAGAGTAAGTTTACACTCCATTAGGTTAAAAGACTTTTAGACCAAGCTCACAGTGAGGCAATTATTGGAAGTTCGCTTATCACAGTTTGAAATGTCTCAATTTTAACTCATGGCAAGATATTCTGATACAACACTGTTTGTGGTGGTATATTTGACTGCTAACTACAAAAACTTTCTATTTAATCACTTCTATTGATGATCTGCTCACTGGCAAGAGCCAGGTTAGGAAATGAGCACTACTGCTGTTATCTGCAGTTGAGGAGGAAGCTGGGAATTTTTTCCTTGAAAATACAGAAGAAAGGATGTTTGTGTGTTTTGGTTTTTATTTAATTTTTTTTTATTTAATTTTCAGGCCAGATAGTGACTTTATGCAAATATCAATGGACTTGCAACAATATAGAACTCCATGTATTTTAGGATTAAATTTAAATGATTAAAATTTCGTAGAAGAGACATTTTGGCAGAATTTAGAAATATTGTCCATGGGCTGTCCTACCTTATTGGGAAGGATGTAGGTCTCGTGCATGATGCTAAAGCAGGTGATTCAGCAAATTCTATATTGAAGTACCTGACAGATGCAGGGCTATTGCACAGGTCTTGACAGAGGTTTGAGTAGGACATGGCCAAGGAAAGTATAATTCTACAGACCCAGAATTTACTAAGATTTTGGTAAAGAGTGAGAGTTTGTTTAACCTCCCCAAAAAGAAAATACAGCTTTAGTTCCTTCTGATTTATGTTGAACTGCAGAAGTAAGTTTTTTCTATGAATCTAATGAGCTAGAATGCTAGTAGATCTGAAGGGTTTTTAATTGGTTTTTGAAAGGTTAATATTTTTCTGAAAAAATGATCTGAGCTTGCCTCCAGCTAATAACAAAAGGTTTCTGGAGGAATAGACGGCATCACATTTCAAAGGTTATGGTACTAAATGCACTCAGAATTACATATTTGGAAATATTTAGATGTTACACTTCTACTCGCCCTTGCTATGAGTTCTTTAACTGAGTATAACGTGAAGAAAAACAAAATATTTGGTTGGAACAAAAATAGCTCATATATCTTTTCAGCAAAGGTTTTTATTTTTCTGCTGTTTTTCTGTTTGTAAAAAAAAATGCAAGGCCTTATCAGCAGATGTCTCCCCATGTCAGAACTGGGATTGAGTGAATGTCTCGATTGGCTCCAGCAACTGAAAAAACATGCTTGACTAGTAGAACCTGGTGAAGCTCAAAATGGTTTTGATCTTGCTGTTCGCTTGATTCTTTGTCTGCCTGAATTCTTACTTCCTTCTAACTTTATTTTCAGTATGTTTATCCCTGCTTACACATCAATACTTCAGTCAAATAGTGTTATCATCCCGGTTCTGTTAGCTTGAACTCTGAAGGTAGATCCTTGGATGACTTGTCCTCACTGCAGTTTAGAAGTCTGCAGGGTTAATGGTGTAGCCTATTGGCTTGTGCGAGGGCTTAATGGCTAACTGCCAGTATTCCCCCAGCACCCAGAATGATACCTGAGCCCTGCCAAAAATGTCATCTGTTCGTCGACTAGAGCTTGTCCTCTCATGGCAGCAGCGATGGAGAGGGATAGAGGAACTTACGCATCAGATCAGTGCTGTAGAGGATCACCCACTGCTTAACCCTCCCATTACTCTCCAGCTGGAAGAACTGTTTCTCCTTGGCAATACAGTGCCAAAGGGTCATGTGGCAGGGAAGACTCCTCCACCTTTTCTTCCACAGTAGCAGGTTTAGGTAGAAAACTATGTGTGCAAATAATGGCACTTAATATTTCCCACTGCATTCTAATCCAGAGACATTGGATTTGTTCTGCAATACTGCAATGCAAACACTGCAATACATGTGGTTTTTTTTGCCTCTGATAAAAATATTTTCATCATGTATTTCACTGAAAAACAGGTTTTCTCTCTTAACATTTAGTACAGTGATAGCCAATGGATTCCTGGAGAACCTCTGACTCTGCCAGCTGCCTTCCAAAATGCCAGGACTGTCGACTGCCAGCTACCAAATGATGGCCAGCAGTCTGACGTCATGGATCTGATTGATGATAAACCAATTGTCGGGTGGCAAATAAAGGTACCCACAGAAATTTCAAGTATTCACTTACAAATACTCCTATTAAGATGAAAAGATATTATATAGATACTAGCCTTTTTTAAATGGTACTAAAGGTAGAACTTGGCTTGCTTAACTTGGGGTGCCCGTTTCATCACCTAAGCTTAAGTGTTGATTCTGTGATTCTGTGGAGTGTCATCTGTTGAGTGTCATGTGAGAGTGTTCCCCTGCAAGGGGAGTGGTAGATATGACCTAGGACCTACAGAGAGACACGTTCTTCAGGAGAAGTTGAAGGCCAGGTAGTTACCCAAGAACATTTCAAATGACATTAAACACATTTGGGGGAAAATCGAGTTGAGCCCAGTCTACATGTGCAGATCCCTGTGAGGTAGATACCTGAGCTCTCATACAGATTGAGTCAATAAGGCCAATAGAGTCTACACATTGTTCAGTTTACCCTAAAGTAGACACATACATGTGGTTGGTCAAATATCTGCCTAGACTTATTGGCAGGATTGATTAGATTTCTGCCAGCTATTACGAGAGTTTAAACAGCTAAATGTAGGTGTCTATCAATGACTTGAAGCTCATGCTAGCAGTCCATGCTGGTGATGTGTTGATACTTGTATGGGTTAATCCATTTTTACTGTGCGTCTTGCAGATTTCTAATGATGGATTCATTTATAGCAACTCTAAAACAATGATATTATATGATGGAGCATGTCAGACGTGTGAACCACAAGAATCTGGGCTATGTACGTTAAAGGTATGTATTTCATTACACTCTATTATGAAAATACATATATTTTCAGGCAGAAAAAAAGATCTAGAAAAATCAGCAGAACGTGCCCTGTTCTTGTGTCCAACAGGGATTTTCCGTGCACAGAAATGGTAAGACCAGAAAGAGAAACTGGGATGAGACAATTTTTAATTAAAAAAATCAAACCAAAAGCATTTAATATAATTGCCAAATGAAACATGCTGTCAGTTACTTAAATTTAAAAACAACCTTAGTTGTTTAGTGGAAGTGCAGAACAGATTAGATTTTGACACTTTACAAATTCATCCAGATGTACTGTTTAATAACCAAAAATTAATGAATCACATTGTCATTTCTCTAAAAGGAGAAAACGTGCAACATAGATGGACTCTGTTATGGTGAAGGTGACGCAAATCCAACCAGCCCTTGCTTACTCTGCAGACCAGACATATCAAAGTTAACTTGGTCAATTGTTGAAAGTAAGTTCTAAATAGGTTGTTTTTTAATAGCAAGAAGTTGAAAATCTACTAAGTTTTTAGATTTATGGAACTAGTGAAGTTTTAAGTTTAACTAGTTGAGTGTTTCATTTAAAGCTTAGTACCCACTACTTTAGCTTGTAATTTGATCTTGGTTTTCATTTGACGTTTCTCCTAATTTCTGAAAATGTTATTTTGTTTTCCAGACCATATATGTAAAAGTCAGGCTTTTTTTTTTCCTTGCCCTGCCCCCACCAGTAGCCATTACAAATAAGTAATGAAAATTAACAGTTCTCAGCCTAATCGACACTTTGAAGTCTTTTGATATTTGGCACAGCCGCATCCACTATTGTTGGTCTTCAACATTTAGGAATAAAAGATATTTTCGAACACATGACTCTGACACCAAACAAGGAGAACACAAACTGAATTAAATGGCATATCATATTTATTAGCCACTTAATATTTGGACAGAATCCACATCAATGTCATAGATACATGGCCTAGACTTCAGTCTAGTTAGAAACTGCACTGTAAAAAGAAGATCCAAGTCTAGACTCTCAATTTTCCTTCTCCATAATACAAAGTTCTAGCCTAGAAGTTACAGCTCTTTTGGCTCAGGTCTTGATCTTTGGATCTACAAATCATTTTGGTCCCTTCACCAAATGGGACATCTCTTGGTGCTTTACTAGTAGCCATCCATCCTGCCCCATCAAGCCAAGTCCATAACATCTCAAACACAAGTGTTCCATCAGTGTTTTCATGGGTTAATGTGCTGGCAAGACTCTGCCTGGATTGGGAAGGGTCCTATATGAGTGGGACTTCTGGTGCCTGTCTTGCTGAATCTTTTCCTACTTCAAACTTGTACTGACAGCGAAGGTGGCTATACCTGTTCCAAAAGAATGAAACTTGAATTAAAGAAGTGAAATGAAAGTCATCTGGCAGTCAGGGAGTCAAGGGATTTCCATGCTACAGCCACAGAGTGGAATTCAATATTGCAAAGTCTGAAATGGGAGAAAAATGTAAACCAGAGGCAATCCCCCAAAACCGAGGGGCGCAACCTCTCCTCCAGAGTGGACAACATTAGGAACAGAGTGTCAGAATCTAAATGCTGAGACACTGGTTACAGCTGCTTCTCGCATCATGGTTTCTGCCACAGTGGAGGTTCTTTCTTGGAGTGGTCACTTCACTGTAACTCAGATCTTAGCAATCTTAGTCACCTTTCGACGTCCCAACTTCAAAACCTATGCTCTGCCCAGGGCATCTGCTTCTTTCTTTCACATAACTTGTCTTGGTACATGGGTTTTGTTTGTTTTCAACTGATGTCTCTAGAAATCTAGTTGCTCCTGCCAAATAGGTTAGAGGTCAACAGTGCAGCCATGTAAATAGACTAAGACTTACCAGTGAGTAAGCTGCATGGTTGAAATCCTTCCAAGGAACAGTGAGTGAATGCCTTACTCCATCACCTCATGCTCAGTTTTGCCAAGATAGTCATTACAGCCTATTCCCAAATATACTTAACAATGACTATTTGCTTCTTAAAGGAAACACCAATCACCTCTGAGTTTTATGGCTTCCTGTCCTTTCATCTGCAAATTATCTCTGTACGTTTAAAATACAGTGTTTAAATTCAATGCATTCTGAGTTCTTTCTATGTGTGGATGCAGTGCATCTTTACAAGCTCCTGTGTAGTATAAGTAATTTCTTGGTTATGTTGTTACAGTTATAATGTGCTTTTCCTGTGGCATTCAAATGACATTAGAACTTAAATAGTTACATGTGATTTCCTTAATAGTAAGATGTGCTCCTTTTTAATTGCTTAAAAGACTAAACATCTCTTTTGTTACAGACAACCAGCCTCCAGTGCTTGAAACTTTTCAGGGTGTGCTACAGACTTTTTATGGAGAAGATTTTGTGTATCAGTTTTTGGCTTCAGATCCAGAGGGCTCTGCTATTCATTTCACACTGGATTCTGGTCCAGAAGGTGCCAGTCTTTCCCCATCAGGTCTCCTTTTGTGGAAAGCTCTGTCGATGAATCCCCATAAATTAACATTTTCTTTGACAGATGACTGCAATGCAAAGACTAAGGTAGAAATAGAGGTAATGAATATTACAGTAAAATGATGCATACTAGTAAGATGTTTGTCTAATTACAAAATTCATTGCTAGTTCATTTAAAAAAAAGAAAACTCTTATTGGGCATGTCTTGTAGGTCAGTGTAAAATCATGTGATTGCCTAAATAATGGCTCATGTGTGACAAACATTAATTTCCCACCTGGAAGTGGAAGATATCTTTGTGTGTGTGTGGCTGGATTTGAAGGTGATCTCTGTCAAGTGAATACTGATGACTGTAAACTTAACCAGTGTGGTATTGGCAGATGTGTGGATGGAATAAACAGCTATTACTGTGAATGTCCACCTGAACTTCAAGGTAAATTGCTACTTTATTTGCACTGTTTATCACATTTAGTGATAAATAGGGGTTTCCAATTTTATGTCAACAATTTTTAAAAAACTTTTGACTGTAAATATCTTGCTGTTAGAGTATGAAGAAATTTTATGGTCTTGTGGTAAAGTTACATGATATACTTCATTTTTCTTGCATGAATACAGCGGTTGTTTATATTATGAGAGCAAATTTCCATTGTTTTCCTCTGCAGAGGTAAACTCAAAAACATGGTGAAACATAGGAGTGATGACTTTGGTCACGGTGTGATTCCTCCTATGCCTGCAGATAAACATGCAGTCCCCACAGCCCATCTTCTCCATATTCCGCAATAAGCAAGCTACTTGATAGAAGATGGAAAAATGTGAATGGCAAAGCTAGTCAGCTGTACTTGTTAACTGTACTGAAATACTTTGTTGCACTTGCTAGATGCCTTTTCTGTATTTCAGCACCTGCATACATTCAACTTTTACCTTTTATAAGCACACTGTCAAAGTCTAGTGACGCAATATTGTAATAAAAAAAAAATCTGTATTTCAATGCAGGTAAAAATTGTCAAGATGATACAGATGAATGTGTATCCGGTCCTTGCTTCCCCGGAGTATTTTGCTTCAATACTTTTGGTTCTTACTATTGTGGTCCATGCCCAAACAATCTGCAAGGAGATGGGAGGTCGTGTTACGGTAAAATTATTTGTTTTTCGGAAGAATGCTATTATCTTACTGTCACTTAGATAAAAAAATCTTCAGTTGTGCTTTGAGTTTCTAGCAGTAACTTAGAGCTCTCTTCAGTAGCAAAACAGGACTGTGTCTGACTGTCGATGGCTGGGACAGAATCTCAGTTGATGACATCAGACTGCACTGGGCCACATAGTTGTAAAACACTTTCTCAGGTGACTAGAAAAAATAGATACAAAATACCCCAATTCTTTTATATCAAAGTAGAATGCAATGAAATGGGGTATTTTCCTGCATTATTTTCATAACATGAGCAATTATTGATGACATATTTTTCTGTTAGATTGGTTAATGTAGAACTGTTTACCTGAATCAAGGCACTTGTCGAATAAGGTGCCCAAACATTTATTTACAATGCAATTACTGAATAACTTGTATTTTTAAAACAGTCTATTGAGAACTTGTACAAAACAGTTTTTACTCTTTATCTGCTTTCTGAATTTTGAGTTATTTTTGTGTACTAAAGCTTTAACTCTGTAATTTATTTGCAGTTGAAACAAAAGTAACTACTAATGCATATTTACAATGTTTGTTTTTAGAAAGCTTTGAAGACACTAATGTTGAAACAAAGGATTCCCCAGGAGAAATTGGAGGGAATAAAGGTGATTTTTTCATAAAGAAAATGGAATTTCTGATTCACATACTAATAAGAATATAGCTGACAAATAAAGGTTCTAGTCAGTTTTATGTTATTCACTTTAATTTTTCAGTTTGGCTCAATTTAATTCATTACTGGCATTGTATTCTGATCTGAAAAATGAGACTGAAATGTCAATATCAACAAATCCCTTAGGTCAGCCAAGTCATTTTACTGACAGTGTGATGTATGACATTCTTACCGTTGCCTTTTGTTTTTGTGACTAACCACTGACATAAAACAGGTAACATGGGGATAGGGACATCTGTTAGATGCGATAAGCAGAAGTTTATGGCATTATGTTGAATGCCATTTTCCTACTTTAACTCAAAGGAAAGGTGAAGGATATGGCAAGTGAATGTCTTAATTCCAAAACTCCGTAAACGCTGTTGCTGGCATTTCCAGCTCTGTGCCTGCTGGGCTTTCTTTGCAGGAAATTCTCGTGTGTCTTTTTATCTCTGAATTATTAGTGGAAGAGGAGGAAAACTCCCTCACTCCGTTGCCAGTGCTGGATGATTCTTCATCAGCTGCAAAATGGTTTGCTTTTCAGCAGTGGGAGACAGCACTCTGTGATAAGATTCAGTAAAGTTTAACCTTTTGTAGCCCATTTTCTAGTGCTGTTCTAAATGAGATTAGGGACAGAGCGTAAGCGAGGTTGGATAATCTCCTCCAGTTTCATTCCTCCTCTGCCCCATAATGCCAAAAGCCCATACACGGCATTCTGCCATTCTGGGAGTACAGTGCCCGACTCCTTTCCACAACCCACCACCCCACCCCCTTTCCCTGGGCAGGGTATGAAGAGCTTTTCATTCACTTTGCACTCCTGTCAACGAGGAGGCCGAGTCAGTCTCTGTTGTTTATAAAACACATGAAACATCCCACTAAGGAAACCCATGCAGAAACTTTAATAAAGTTGATTAAAAAGTGTGTAGAGTAAAACATGGTAATACTTTTGCTACAAGGTGGTGGATTATTCACCTAAAATACTGTCCATGGTGCATCAGTAAGTAAAAGCATGTACACACCTTTGATTAAATATCTGCTTCTAGACTCTGAATTCATCACTAGCTCGTAGACACACTGATGAACCATAAGCAGTATCTTTTCTTTGAACTGTCTTTCAGTTACCTGGTTGGAAGCAGTATGTGGAGCTGGTAATTTGCTCTGGCAGTAAAGCTGTTTAATGACCCAGTATGGGAAAATCTCTGCTGTCTGCCTCATATATATAGTGCCTCCTCCTTATGTTCCAGCCAAGAAAAGGCCATGGTGAGGGTGGGAAAGGATGTAGCCGGAATATTTTGATCTTCTCCAATTCTGCTAGGTTAGGAGCTAGGTTCTACTGCATGCATGTATTCTGGTGTAGCACGTGGAGGTACTTCCTGAAGCACAGAATGAACAGGCTGTACATTTTCCTGTTCAGAGGACAGTGCCCACCCTCAGAAGGAAAAAAAGTCTCATAATATTCCTGTACTTTTCCCCCCATTTCTTTCTAACATGCTGTAGATTTTCAACAACCATCCTTTGAGAAATTTTTAAGCATCTCAAGCTATATTCCCAGTTCTACAGATGTCCCCGAGAGATTTATTTCTACAGAAATGGTCAGTAGCAGCACTCCACCAGCCTCCACAGTAAAAACAATCACTGCCTGGAAGTCCCTTAATTCTCAGAGAAGTGCTTCTGTGCAACCTGCTGTTACTGGAAACATTGCTCATACTCTCAGCACCATCAGCGGTCACCTTGCTAATGTGGAAGAGAGTTCTTCAGTGCATGCTGTGATGACTGCATCTTCAAGGAGCCATGCTGCATCTCCTGAGAAGAAAACAAGGGCACAAGCTGAGGTCTCCAGCTGTTCTGAGACCAGCAGGAGGACTTCTCCTGCTAGCAGCAGAACAAATATAAGCAAAGGGCTTTCATTGCCAGGCAAAGTATTCAGAAGTGGAAGTGTTCACAGAGTTCAGCACCTGTTAGCCAAGCATAAAGTGAGTCCTCTACCTTTCGTCCTTGTTGAAGTCACTGTCCCACCAACAATGCTTCCTGAAGGACTGAGTGAAACACTGATTCCTAAAGCCATAACCTGTAGTGATTTACCCTGTTTTCCTGGCGTACCTTGTGAGCCAAGTCAGGATGGAAGCATCAAGTGCGGTCGTTGTCCTTATGGTTATTATGGAGATGGCTTCACTTGCAGAGGTATTACAAACAGCTGCACTGAATGCTTTGCGGAAAAGAATCTTGTGACATCTTCGTGACTTGAAAGTACATTGTTACTGCCTGATCAGTGAAATGCAGAGAGTATTGAATTTTCTGATTTTCATTATTAATATTGGCATAGCCTACAGGCTTTTAGTTGTATGGATGCACTTAAAAAACTTTTTCTGGCATGTCTCAGGCTCCTCACTTACAGGCAGGGACCTGATGGGTTCTGTGTGATCGGGTTTGCTGTGGTAGGCAAGACACAGTTGTGCTGACCTGGCACTTTCATTTTGCTTATTCCTTTTTTTGTTTTCTTCATTGCCTTTCAGCAACATGTAGACAAACATGTGGCAAAAATATGGAGTGTGTGGCGCCCAATATTTGCAAATGCAAGCCTGGTTATGCTGGTTATAACTGTCAGGCTGGTAAGTAAGCCATTTTGCTTTAGCCTGTGGTAACTGATACATAGAAATCAATGATTTGAAGATCACTGTTGATTTTTTTCACAGCTATATGCAGACCTGATTGCAAAAACCATGGGAAGTGCATTAAGCCCAATGTCTGTGAATGTCTGCCAGGATACAGTGGCTCTGCTTGCGAGGAAGGTAAACAGACTGTTTTTCACTTTTGAATCCATAAATGCCCAAAGGATGCTGTAAATAACTTCCATGACTGTTCCTTCTGACAGAAAAGAGGTGTGTTTATTTTACTTTTACTTTAGCAGAACGCTGTGAGTAACTCGTTGATATATACCCTACTTTTTCTTGATATATACTGTAAATGTTGCTTGCGATTGGATATTCCTAAATTTAGCTTTCACAGTAAGTAGAGGAGTTCACCAGTGAATGTAGATGCCTCTAAGCTAAACACTTCCAAAGAGTGGGAAGTCCTGTCTGGAAATTGTCTCACATTTATTTTCTTCAGGGTGACCACCACTGTTGGGACTCTTCGTACTCTGTTGGAATTACTTATTCTTGTCAAAAGGCATTGCATACGTCTCCTTGTTTTATTCCCAGTTCTTTGCACACTGTCAGTTATTAACATTTCCCCTTTCCTAAAGCATAACCAATCCACACATCTTTTTAGAGGCAATTTCTTGAACAAGATAATTCTATATCTGCAGCTCGTTGTAAGCCGCCCTGTCAAAATGGAGGCACGTGCTTGGCCAGAAATCTCTGCACCTGCCCATATGGTTTTGTGGGACCAAGATGTGATACAAGTAAGCGAAAAAGTGTAAGGGAAGAATACGGAACACTTCTCCTGTTCTTCAGGAGCAAGAAAGCAATTATGGTTTAAATTTTTGATGTAGTCTGTTTAATGCTAGCAAATGACGTCATACCTGTGACTCTTTGAAGGCTCCCATACTTAGGCTTTTCAAACATTAGATAGTATTTGCACGGAACATGGAAAACATAACATGCTATAAAAATTGCAAATAGTTTATTGTTTATGATTCATAAATGTGGAAACATTGAGCACGTTGCACCTGCAATACTACTTTCAGAACAAACACAGATGTTTCAGATGTTTAATAAGTCCTTCCAGCTTTTTAACGTCTATCATCTTAAATTGGTTAGAAGCTGAGGTACTTTCAGAAGCTGGTATCAGTGAATGGTGGGTCAGGAAAACTAGGATACAGGAAAACTGAATTCAGAACCACATTATGGGGTCGTCTTTTTTTTTCTTCACCTGGCATGAAAATTGGATAATTTGCTGTGATCATAGCTGAAAAATTGGAATTAGTCTCACATAAATTGAATTTTACATATGGAATTCCACATGCTGCAATTTGGCAACTCCAAATGTTGGGTAGGTTTCATACAGGTAATGTTTGTCATTCAAATAGTCCAAATTTAGACATGCTGCTTATGTGTCATTCGCCTGAAGGTGCCACTGTGTTACTGACCCCAAAGTGAGAAAGCCCTTTGTTCATCTCCTCCTCAAATCCCAGGACTCTTCATGCTTTCTTGTTCTAGTTTCAATTGTGACACAAAAAAAAAAAGCTGCTTTTTGTTAGGCAGTACTAAAGAGGATGAGATGTTGTCCTGAAGAAGTGGTTCATGGCTTTCCACAGCCACGATATTTTTAATGTCTTTGCTTGTGAATCTCATGTTGCTCTATAGATGCGACGGCACTTGCTGAAGTGCTGGAGGACACTTGAGTGAACTTTCTTGGAGTCCATCAAATCCATCGTGTAACACGGTCCATTTGTCTCTTAGTATTGAATTTCCCTTTATTTTAGAATGTATTTGAAATTTTCTAGATTTTTTTGCGCAAAATATAACCAGACCATGGATAATTACTTGGAAAGACATTTTGTTTACCTTTATAGTCTGGTGCTAGCTTTTTATGGCTTTGAGACTGGATTAATCTAATGAATTCCTCTTCAACTAGTGGAATTGTATGTTATTTCCAGTGTTAATATGTGGGAAAGAATTGAAAAATTAATCAAGCATAATTGGTAACATATCTCTTTCTCTCTTCCCCCCACACCTTCTCACCTCCCCCCCTACCCCCTTCTCCTTTGGTTTTGCCCCACTTGTCGGATGGCAGTGGTTTGCACCAGGCACTGTGAAAACGGTGGTGAATGCCTTACTCCAGACATCTGCCAGTGTAAGCCTGGGTGGTACGGACCTACGTGCAGTACAGGTAACGCTCCTGCAGCTTCCACGTTCCTGGGAGAGCGTCCGTGGGACCTCCCGTGGGTAGAAATTTGGAACCGCGGGGCTCAGGCAGCAGCGACAGGCGGCTGCTTACTGCCGCAGAGCCCCAGCTCTCCCTCTTGTCTCTGCATCTTGGTTCTGCTGCTCTAGGCAGCCTAGTACTGATCCCAAAACTCTGGGTAAAGGTCTTACGTGAATGGTGTTACCTGCAGTTTATCTTAGGTATTCAGTTCCTGTCCTTGCAACAGAAGCCGATATTTTATAGACTTTGTTTGGGTGTCCTGCTTCCCACTCTTCCTGACCCTGTTTCTGCAGCGATGTGTGACCCGGTGTGTCTCAATGGTGGCTCCTGTACCAAGCCAGATGTTTGCCTCTGTCCACATGGATTCTTTGGTGCCCAGTGTCAGAATGGTAATCTTTTTCTTTTTTTTCCTTTTTTTTTCCCCACTCCCCTCTTAGCTGCCATTATGAGGAAATCTGTGAGGAAACGTTGTTATCTTAAAACACAAAATTCACAATCAAGTCATGTACTTGAGAAGTGGTGCAAAACAGAGATTACATTCTTTTTTAGATTTTATGGCTCATGCGAGAAGAAGGGACACTCAAAATTTGCCTTGTCTTCCACTCATCTTTTGAGCAGTGTTCAGCCAGTTCCATTGTATGCTATGTAGTCTGGTTACTCGTGCACACATACAGCTGCCAACCTTAAGCCCTTTTTGTCTGATTTTGTCTTTACTGTTGACGTAGGCACCAGTCCACACTAAGATGGTTTTTATGAGACAGGCCTGCTAGTGCTGAATGTCTGTGTAAGCTGTCAGAAAGTTAGTGTTGCACTCTTGCTTCCTAGAAGCGTTTTGCCAAGTCGAACCAAACGCGCACTACAGCCTTTTCCTCCCGTTTGTATTTTTCAGCTGTCTGCAGCCCGCCGTGTAAGAATGGCGGTCATTGCATGAGAAATAACGTCTGCACTTGTCCTGATGGGTACACAGGCAGAAGATGTGAAAAAAGTGAGCCAGTGTTAAAATCGTTCCAGGATCCGAAAGTAACCAATATATGATTCTGTAATTGGTGAAATGTATTAAACAGCAGATGTTTTTGGTTTTAAGGTGTCTGTGAGCCAAGGTGCATGAATGGAGGAAGGTGCGTAGGGCCAAACGTTTGCTCTTGTCCTTCAGGATGGAGGGGAAAAAGATGTAACGCTCGTAAGTATCTTGTAGTTAAGAGGAGAACCATACCTTCAAACTAAAGGACAGCTCTGTCCAGTCAAGTAATATGAGGTTAGTGTCAAAGAACTCAAGAATATACACACGGTGGAAAAAATAATGGGCTATAACTTGGCAGCAAAATTTAGGGTGGAGGACTAATACTGCAGTTCTTAGGCTAAATCACAAGACCAGAATACCTTTTAAATTCCTGTATAGCAAATAATGTTTGTTTCTTAATTCTTGTCTAAATAAGAAACATCTGTATTTCTGCAAAGAGCTGAGTCAATGAACTGAAAGAATTTCAATTTGTGCTGTAGGACATTAAAGCAGATGATAATAGAGGAAGAACTACAAGGAAAGATTGGAAAACTGTGGAAACAGTGGGAAATGATTGGAATAGAAGATGCAATGGGCACGAGCTCTTTAGGAAAGGTAGAAATAGGACTGCGATGGTAGCACAGCTGTGCATCACATTGTATCTTAACAAAGATATCGATGGTGCATAAATAAAACGTGGCAGCTTGGATAAAGCACGGTCTGCATCAAAATCAGCGGGAGGCAGGGTGGTAGAAATCCAGTAGATAAAGTGTCACTGTCTGTCACAGGACTCACTCAAGGCTCGGATATTCATATGGCTCTAATAGCATAGAGGAAAAACAATTTTCCCCTGCATTACTTTGTGTAATTATTGGAAAGTTTTACTGAAAAAAATATTACCCATATTGATGGGGCTGAGATATTCTTGGCCACTGCGGAAGAAAGATTTGATTATCAACTACGCAGTTAGTCAATGAGAAATAATAGTGGGCCAGATTATGGCTTAACAAACAGGGATGAATGTGCAGAAAAATGGGTCATAGGAAATAACTTCAGAGCAATGTTCATGAGTTGATTCACGGTGTTTTAAGTTGCATGATGGACAAAAGATCCCTCACTAAGGTGTGGGGTTGAGAAAGGTAAATTTGGAAAAAACAAAGCTATTTAGCGGTGCTGACTTAATTCAGTATTTCAGGCTTTTGTAGCAATCTGTGATGCATCAGAACAACTCAGCGCATGCTTTGGCTGCAGGGCGTTTTGTTTCTAGTTGCAGCTCTGCTTTAATATCCTGTTGATCTTAGAGGGAGTTTCAGTGAAAATGATGTGACTCTGGTGTACAGAAAGCGCTCAGCCTCTCGCGGGCATCCCGCAATGTCAACAATGAGTAGAAGTAATCACTTGGAATATAATCAAACTCTGTGATGACGTTTGTGCAGCAATCTGTCTTCAGGAATGTAAGAACGGTGGGGAGTGCATCGGACCGAGTACGTGCCATTGCCCTCCGCAGTGGGAAGGAATCCAGTGCCAAACACGTAAGAATGGTGTGACCTGAAACCCCTTGCTTCGGCACAGCTGAGAACGCTCCAGCCATGCATAGCGCCCAGAACTCCTGTACCTCGGTTGTGTTTTAACTCAAGTCTGTGTCAAAGGCCAGCGTAAAGCATAGAGATTCCTCTGCCCGTCCTGAAGCCCTGTGGAACCGTGGCAGGAGGCTCTAACACCATATGCTGCCACAGCAGCCCTGACGGGCCGTTGCAATAGCTTGACATAGTAAGATGTGCTAAAACCCACCTTGGTCATGTCCCTCGCTCAGTCTCATTCATGCCCTCAGCATGTTCCCGTGTTAGATCTGCACCAAAGCACAAAGGGGATGGGACAGGCGTAAGAACGTTGCTGGCTCCACGTGACTGTGAAGTGTCCTTACGCTGAGGGGGTGTTTCCCTGTGAAGACACCTACCGTGTTCTTGGCTCCTATGAGCAAGCAGAATAAGTATATAGGATAGTAGCCACTTTTCCTTCATCAGGTTGCTTTCAAGAATAAAGCCACCTATGTGTCTCTCTTTTTTCAGCTGTGTGCAACCAGAAGTGTCTGTTTGGAGGCAAGTGCGTATTGCCTGACGTGTGCTCGTGTCGTACTGGTTATACTGGAGTCCTCTGTGGGAAGAAAATTCAGGTACATGTACAGCCAGGACACCATCACAGATACAGGGGTTTGGGAGTCATTAGCTAGTCCACCCTTATCCAGTGAAGCAGCACGGAATGCACCAAATGTGGTTGTCCAACTTCTTCCTTTTGGCCTCCAGTGAGGGAAAATCCATAAAATTGCCAAGATCTATTGCAGTTACGTATATGCTCTAATACTTACAGAATTGTTCTCGACACCTAATGTAAATTTCCTTTGTTTCAAAGTAAGCTGGTTATCTCTTGTCATTCCCTAAGTGGCAGCAGCCAGGAATTGCTAACTATCCTCTTCGTAACAGCCTGAATTCTCCCTTCCAGTGTCTGGCCCCATTTTAGGGAAGACAGTCCCACTGCTGACTTAGCTTGCGACAAGCCCCGATAGTTAGCTTTCAGCTGACAAACTGCAGCGTCACTCAGCTCATCCCTGGGCTATACAAATGCTCCTTATTCCCCGGCGTAACTTTGGGAATAGCTTTACTTCTCTGCGTCACAGTGAACGATGGCCATTTCTCTGTTTTGTCACGTCATCTTCTGTTGTATTCCTCTGCTTGAGTGCTGACAGTCGCTCACTGAAGGAATTTAATTATACGTTTCATTACAACTAACTTTTCTGTGACATCTGAAGTACAAAGCATTCGACTCCTCTTGCATCATCTGTGATGTTTCTCTTCTTCGAATTTCAACATATTTAGACACTTTCCTGGTGCCAGCAGAGGTCATTGGGTGGAGTTGGGACGTTTTAGCCTGCACGCTGGTGCTGTTCCTTTATGTTCGTCTTCAGTTACATGCCGCTGTTCACATCTGTACTGTGTTTTCTTTTAAAACCCGTTTAGTTCTTTGGTCTCCTGCTGCAGCCAAACGAGCATATTCTGTCCTTCCCATCTTTCCTTTCTTGTCAGTACTTTGCCACATGATGACTTTTAATGTAAAACCTGGAATGTGACTGCTAGGTGTGCAGGCATTTTTAGAGAGAAAGTGGTAAAAACCAGGGAAGAGAGCCACAGTTTCTCCCAGTTGAAACTACAGGGAGTTCAGATCCCTTTTTCTACTTTATCATAAAGTCCAATATACAATGCCAATACCATTTGCGGTCAGATAGCAGATAACTTGCTAGAGAAGGGGCAAGTATGTTTAAGAAATTGAAACAATTAATAAACATTTTTTAAAATATAAAACTACACATCCTATGAGGATAAGACTCAGGTTTCCAAAATGCAACCTAGAAAAAAAAGAAATAATTTTGATTTAAATGTTTACATAAATACATCCTGCAAAGCATTCGTATATTTTTAATCAAGAAAGTACATTGCTGGTCAGTCAGACAGTGCTGTATCATACACTGACCAAAACCGCCCATTTTCTTAAAGAAATAAACAAGCTATATGTGCAAATTCGTGTTGTGTTTCTGCGTATCAGGAAAGCAGAGATTCATTAAAATTGTGTCTTAAGCTTTATCATAAAAATGGGCTGGGTCTTTAAAGTCTCTTTTTACATTTATTTATTTATTTTTCTCTCCAAGGTACAAAGGCATCATGGTTGAAGACAAGACATGTATCAATTAAATTGCAATGCTGCATGGATGTATGAGACTCGAACACAGCAAGAGGGTTGAAGGCAATTACAGAGTTTATTTAAACGAAAGGAATACCCAGAGAGAGGTGACATCTGCCACGAAGACTGTTAAGAGTACTTTGGTTTAGGAGTTTGTGCAACCTTCCATTCACAAAACTGAATCCATACATATATGTATGCGCCTTTCTAGGATTTCAGGCTGAGTAAAGGGGTTTTTTAATCATAACTTTTAGTATTCCCCATTTATTTTCAGTGTTTTTAAAGGCAGAAATGATTTCTTTTACGTTTTCCAAATGCAAGCAGTGCAACCAAAAGCACACCCAGAGTTTTGCGACAGTAGCCAAAACTGCTCAGGGCTGAGCTGTGCTATTTTCCAGCAAGCACGTGAAGCAGAAAAGTTACTAGCGCGTGCATAAAGACAGAGAGCTACCACAAAGTGGTGAAACTGCTCAAGAGGCGGAAGCATATAGAGGGCTTGTGTACACAGGTTAACAAAATTGTTCTAAAATTGCATAAGGCAACCTGAAATTGGGCCCAGAAGAGCTTGGGGATTTGGAAGGGGGGAGAAGGGTTGCGTGCTGCAGGAGCTGCCATGGCTCCAGTCCGATGGAAGGAAGGGCAGCTTGTGGCAAACTGAAGATCTTGGAGCGATTCCTAGCACGTTAGAACACAGGGGTCTTCACTGAACTTTCTTGTGCAATTTCTTTAAGCGGGGCTGGGAGGTATCTATGTACATCATCCGTTTATTACCTGGTTGCACTAAAGTTGCTCTGCAGGGCAGCAGAAGTCCCCACAAGTGCAGACTGACTTTTGCCCATGATCTCGAAGAGATCTTTACAATGCAGTGCAATGACTGTTTTCAGAAGGAAGGACTCATATCGTAGAAGATACCACAGATTTTAGCAAGGACTCCCTTTTCTACATTTTCATCCGTGTTGCCTGTGATTTAAAAAAAAAACAAAACCCAAAGTAGGCCCCACGTGAAAGGCTCTTTATATATTATATATTCTCATAGCTAAGAATAGAAAGTGAGTTAACACTTCCACCTACCAAAGGCAAACCAGTGAAGAAGGATCAGCGCAAACCCTAAAGTAAATCAGTCTGAAAGTTTAAGCTACTTGACAGACTGGCTATAGCCACTCCATTACTTGCTCAAATGGGAACATTCAAAGTTTAAATTCTCAGTGAAAAGTAACACATGGATACATACACAAAAAAGCGAACACAGAGGTTAGAAAGTGTCACCAATGACCGAAGATGTTTATGCTGTTTCTCTTGTCATTTTACTCAACTTTCACCCACAGCTCAGTTTAGCCAACAAAGGGTATTTTGCAGATAAACCACGTAACTCCATTCTTGCTACAGCCACTTACAGTAGAAGAGAAAAATAAAATGGTAAAATGTGCATGTAAGTAAAATGCAGAAACACTTCTCACCTTTCCACACATGCTCTAAAGACAGAATATCAAAAAGGCAACCAGTGCACCACTCCTACAACTCTTCCAGTTGTTTTCAGGGAAAATCAGAGCATCTGCATAAGGTGTTAGAGTTGGCTTTAATACATCAGGGAAATAACCTGTTCCATATTGTTTCTCTTCACCTTTGAGCTGCATGCATGACTAGCTTTCTACAGGAAGATACACCTAGCTCCAAAAATCACATGCTGTAACCAGTATGTTCAATCCTCAGTGAGTGGGAAACAAACAAAAGGCAAAGAATACTGACAGCTCTTTTGGTAAATATACGCGGAACCATAGAAACAATAATCTGGGGACCTAGACTGTCATTAATAATACATTCTGGGACTCTTCTACTTTAAAATAACTACTAGAAAATTCACTTTTAAACTCACTTAAAATATTGTGGAGATTGAAATGATATTTCTTGAAAACAGAACCGAAAAACCCCAACGAAAAGCCCCGTGGCCAGTAGATGGTGCTACATTCAAGCAGTATTTCTAAAATCTGCCATCACATTCTGTGCACCATCAAATCACTGCTTGCTTGCTTCAGTCATTTCTAAACAGGGAATTATATAAATCAGCATTTGTTCTGGCCTGCTCACAGACACCAGTGACAGGTCTCTCTCACTGACTGCTCCTGGAGTCGTGCTCCTAACGATGCCAATACCTCTTTTGGCTTCTAATCACCATTACGGTCACTTTTGGCTTTATTAGTAGAAGTCAGTCTTTTCAGGAGCGATACGGAGACACTGTGCCTCTTCACATTTACATTCTTCTGCTCATTTACTCTGACATCTTGGGTCTGCTGCAATTAATTTTTTTCCACTCACTTCCCTGCAACCAGTAGGTCATCTAAGGTATCCAGCTTCACTCCTGAATTTCTAAATTATGGCATGATTATTGTAGTGAACTGTGACACAGACACAGAATTTCATCATCATAAAGCCTACTCCAGAACCGTTGATGAAATCATCTTGTTCCATGCATGAAAACCATATTTTTTGCCAGCATGTCTGCAATACCCAGAGTATCACAGCAAAAGCAGCACAAAGAAACCCCATACGCTTTTACTCTGTCCCCTGCCCCGGCAACAAAACCTGCACAAACACACGTCCGTAGCAGGTTTCATCTGAACCGAACACAACAGCCCCTGAAGCCAGGGCAGAGGAAGGCTTCTCAGCCAGACAACACCGCCACTGCTCGTAACAGAAAGCAGGAGTCCCATGAACTGTTCCACTGGCTTTCGTTTGCCCGCCGTATGCTCGGGGTCTCTCAGAGCAGGCTGGTAACTGAGAAGACCCTGTTTGCTTCTTGTCAATGCTCAGTGGTCTGTAATCCGTGGGAAGGATGTCCCTGTGAGTCACTGCCTCTGAAAGCTGCATGCTCTGCCAAGGGAGCTCGTACGCAGATACAATGTTATTCCATCAGACGATTAAAATAACACATAGGCACATGGAGTAAAGTAAGCATTGTAAAATTCTCCCACCCAAAATTCCAGTTGCACCTAGAAGACAATGAAAACCAGTCTATCTCTCAGAAAACAAACAAAAAAAAAGGATTTGGGTAAAACTCAGAAAGTTGATTCAACCTGCATGTTTTGGTAAAACCCTCCTCGGCTGTAGCCTTCAGGAAACAGCACAGAGGGGACACGGAACAGGGAACGCAGGAGCCTCAGCCCAGCCTGCGGCCTGTCCCACGGGCTGCAAAACCTGAACGAGGTCAAACTGGAACATGTCGAGAAGCCAAGTCTCAGCACCCTCACTGCAGGGCATCCGTGAGAGACACGGCTTCTCCTCACTGCCAGGCTGCAGCCTCCTGTTCTACTGCTGCTGTAACAACACGGGCTTGAGCAGGAATGAACCATCAATGTCCGCAGCTTCAGGAGGGAGATAAACACATTTCCCCATCTCACTGGGGTAAGGAAAGGAAATAACTGGAAGTTGAGAGATGATCACATAATACAACTGTAGAAGTAGTCCAGATAAGGATCCTTTTAGAGTATCAGTATGGATTAAGCTTTTAGAAAGTAACAGTGGAACTGTCTGAACAAGCACCGTGTTTTGTTTTTTTAAATACTGTTCAACAGATCTAGATCCAAATCTGATTGTGGGGAGGGGCAGGAAGCATACATAAAGTGATAACCACGATTTTAATAACACGCTTTGCAGTTTGCTAATTTTCCAGAAAGATGCAAACTCTGCAAGTTCCCTCCTGCAACTGTGTAATCTTATTAAAGGTAAATTATACTTGAGTATCCACTTCTGATAATCTGAATTAAGGACGTTTTGTTTCATATGTTTTTTAAAAAGACATCATTAGTATAGCCCAGTAATTCTCATCAAAGGGGAAAAAAAAATCAAAAACAAGAGCATAGATCTATTCTGAAGTACTTTATTTGAAGAGTAAATTTTATTTCAAGGTCAGCTGTATCAACCAAGACATTAACGCTTCTGCTTATGAAGAAAAATGAGAACAGAGGAAAACGTGTGCCATACACTACACACACTTGGATACCTTTAACAGCTTTGTTACAATCAGCAGTACTTTTCTTTCATACAGAAAAGCATTTACTTTTAACGAAGACAAAAAGCGATCTGAAAACAATTAGTTACCACATTTGTTTTAAGGTCTCCCACTGCCACAGACTTCATCTCTGTATGAAGAGTTACACGAAGAAAATGCAGCTTCTCTTTGCTGAACTTGCTTCATTCCTTCCTTTTCTTTGTACACTGCAGACCAGAGTACGGCAGGCGACATCTGCACACGTTGGGAGCTATGCATTTTCCTCCATGTTGACAAGGTAGTTTACATACAGCTGAAATGAGACACCAGACACACAGTATGTCTTCAGCACAACACAGGATCATTTTTCTTCTTTGTCTCACTGTGGTAGCAGAATTGTTCCCTAGTGACCGTGCTGGGACAGTATAAATAAAAGCATAATGGAAGAACTGAAAAGCAAAGCCTCTCAATTTATGGCGTCGTGGTCTTCACCGGAATACAGCCACAGTACATCTAGTTTTATTCATGCTCCATTCCCCTTTTAAAATACTATCATTTCTGTTGTTCTTTAAGGCACAGGCTATTTTTGAGATGGATGCCTCCACGAACACTTGCCACCTACCAGCGGTTGCTCACCCACCACCCTTCTGCTCCCCCGCTCCCCCAAAAGCAGGGCAGAGGACGACTGAGCGGGTGCAGCTTTAGCTGCCCCCTAGCTACACACCAGTTGGGGTAACAAGCCAGGGGCTGTAGTTTGCGTACGACTTCTGTACCAACAGCGGTCACACCGGATGCAGATCTAGTCAGCTCAGGAACAGTGATTATTTTGACATTAAGAACTTGAACACTTCACTCGTTATTGCTGGGGCGGGGAATGGAGCTAAGCGTTTTGTAAGCTCTCTGCATCTCCCATACTTGCCTTTTAATGTCACCCTCTATCTTGGTACCCTGACAAATACAAAGGATAAGTGTTTTGCTGGTCAAATGAGAATGTTAAAGTATTTGTTAATGTTTGCTTGACTGTATATATCGCAGAAGAACTAATACTAGCTCATTTGGATTCTCACAGCCACACAAAAACTTCAAATGCAGAGGGCTTAATCCAGAGACCTTATACCCATGATATCTAGTTCAAAAGCAACATTTAAATGAGCTTTTTCTCAGTCTCCCAGAAAGCAAACAAAAAAACCCAACTTTCCTTTTTACAGTCTCAGGATTATCACCTTTAGCATCACGGCAGTGCTGTTACGAGCATACAAGGCCTTGCCAGACAAGGGTAGATTAAAGTTTCTATAATCATCATCTGCTTTTGTGAATGTAAATCTGGGAAAATGCAAGTGGCTGTTCAGCAAAAATGTCAGTCAGTACTAATCCTGATTACAGCCAGCTTCCTCTTACTCTTTTTTAAGAGCACCTGGAGTTGATTCTGCCAAGTCATCCTCAAAGTGAAGCAAATTTCAATTTTCCATGTCCATAAAATTTAATGAAGCTTCCAACCCACATCAGTAGTGATAGCATTTCTGTAACGGCCATTTTCAGTTCTTTATGCTGGGGTTTCAGTTTGTAGAAAATATTTCAGAAATACTGACAAGACATACCAAGTAATGAATTCAGTGACAACCAAAATCTGCATCTGAATTTACCGGAAGTGGAGAAGCTCTGTCTTTCCGACCAAACTGAAAAGCCATCTATTCCTTACATGTACTTGTAAGATCCTCAGCACGCAGAAGCAGCTCTCATTTACTATTCTAAGACACTTTCCTAGCAGCTTTGTTAGGCACTGAAGATGTGAACACTACATTGGTAAATCAAACAAGCAGAGAAAAGGATAAACGAAAAATGCCAGAAGTCATTTACCTAAGTGACATGCTCCACCGACCCATCCAGCTGGACAGCTACAAATCCCAGGAGCCACACAAGCTCCATTATTCCAACAACCTTGGGGACAAATAGCTAGAAGAAAAGAATGGGTAAGTCAGCAGGATTTATAAAATTGATAGAAAGAATCCTGACAGAATGAAAGATTCAGGATGATACAAATCAAAATGGCAAAACACATTTTCTTCCAGGCCAGATACTCAGCTGGTATAACTCTAAAGGCATTTCCAGGACCGTGGAAATGGAAAAAAATACTTCTGTACTATGTTAAGAATTTTGGTTTCAATGTTAACAGATGTACACTTCAACGCAAAATAAATTGACGCTATTTTATCTGAGTGTGTACCAATAATGCAGGTCCTTCATTTCTGTGGTAACGCAATGCCATTTCCATAGTTAACAGCCTCTTAATACTTTTAAAATACTTTTGTGACTGCAGTTATATTTTGAATCAATATAAATATTTTCACGAATGTAGATACCCACCTTCTTGGCATCTTGATCCTGTCCACCCAGAAGCACAAAGGCACTTCACAACTCCATTGACAGAGATGCATTCCCCACCATTTTGACAGCCTCCTTCACAGCTTACTGCGGAAGAACAGCATAGCAGTGCCTTTCAGAAGCAGCACAGGACTTCAGATAATCATCCTTAAACAGCTGGTCTACCATCAACTGCTTGTTTTATCACATCTGCAAAGACTAAAATTTCAGCTGTTCAGAGCAAGGCACAGTTCCATAAGGAGTGAGTAAGGATGACAGAACCATGCCTGCAAATGCAAACTCAAAATGCCGTTAAAATTGAACATGTACTTAAAAGCTTGTTGAGCATTTAGTCTGAACAAATGAACATGATTATGGCTATGGCACAGCTCCTCCCCTCCCCCGCTGTGAACCAACTGCTCATCAGCTACACCGCAGTAACTACTAGCATGCATGTTCTCATTGATCTTGCCAAATCACAGCTGGTAAGCCAGTAATGTGTGGTCAAGGATTCACAGATTTCCTTACCTGACAGGACCTACAGAGGAAGAAGAGAAGGGGATATTACTCTGACAAATGAACCTATGACTATAGTCAAGTTGAGTGGTGCTTTCCCAAAGGCCAAATATCTAAGTCAGCCTCCTCATTCCAGAATCGTTCTATACAAAGTCCTGAAGGCATATGATTGGTATCAACTGTGGTGTGCACTGTCTTTGAAATATGGCACAATCATTGCTCTGTACCATCAAAGGCATCCTTTCACAAGCATGAACATAAGTGTATCTTTAGAGGTGTAAATGTATTTTTAGAGGTGTGTGAAACCACCTCCACTGTATTGAAGAGAAACAACTATCCTCCGTTATAATGATGGATAGTTGGGATGTCTGCTTGATACTTGGCAGAAAAAAAAGCCCAAATTTCTATTCTGCCACAAGTTCCTAGCAGTTCTGATTTCAGCTAATAGATTTTTGGCACAAATGCTGAATGCACAAGGACAAACAAGTTAACTGTAGCACAGCTAGAAAAGCTCTTCAAAGCTTGCTTGCGTATTTCTTTGTCACACAGTGTAAGTTAATGTATTTCATATTGATTGCATTTGATCGATTGTGGTGATGGAGAGAAGGGCCTGAAGACTAGAGGAAAGCAAATGTCATTCCAATCTTCAAGAATGGCAAGGAGGACCCAGGGATCTACAGGCCAGTCAGCCTCACCTCAGTTCCTCGGAAGGTGATGGAGCAGCTGATCCTGGAAACCATCTCCAGGCACATTAAGGACAAGAAAATCATCAGGAATAGCCAGCATGGCTTCACCAAAGGGAAGCTGCGCTTGAGCAACCTGACACACTTTTATGACGAAACGAATGGCCTGGCAGATGGGGGCAGAGCGGTGGATATTGCAAGGGTGACCAAGCACTGGCACAGGTTGCCCAGTGAAGTTGTGGGGTCTCCATCCTTGGAGATATTCAAAAGCTGTCTGGACGTGGACCTTGGCAAATAGCTTTAGGTGGCCCTGCTTAGGTAGGGGGGTTGGACAAGATGACCTCCAGATGTCCCTTCCAAGCTCACCCATTCTGTGACTCTGTGTGATTCTGCAGCACACTGCACCGCACTGCGAGCTGGTACATCCAGGCTCCATATGCCACAGTACTCCACCTTAAAGGTAAGCACAAGTGCATCCTTTGCCTCACAGGGAGAACACAGTAACAAATACAAGTGGGACCTTTACTCAGACACAAATCCAAGTCTAGACTGTAGAATTAGCATAAACTGAATCTTCACTCTGCTTTTTCTGTTTAAGTAGTACTTCTTATCTTGCTTCTGATTCAGGCTCTTCTGAGAAGGTCAAATTCCCCCTTCTTGTGGGGTTCCTACCAAGACTCCACAAACCTATGCTCTCAGTTGGCTTTTAAGAAAAA